TGTAGTATTTAATTTGACCGCAGCCCCGACCGACTCCTTCCCAATCTTATTTTTTTCTTGTTGTGCACAAAGAAAGAAATCAATTGATAAATAATAACATAAATATCCGGGCAAAGCAGAGATGGAAATAAATTTTGTTTGACATTATATAAAATATTATTTTCCTCGGCTCCAAGGGCCCATTGGAACTAACGGCGTGAGGTGTGTTCAATACATTTCGATGTAATGCCACCGAAAAAGAAATTGGTTGCTTGTTAGTAGTATAATTTCATTGTTAGTTGTTTTGAAAAATGGTGGATTCTTGAGCTGCTTCTTTCTGGCTTTTGCTAGCGTCGTCATCTAACCTCCTCGTCGGTCTTTCCAGCGATCTTCCATGTTAGTGTCAACTTCCAAGTTTTCTCCTGAGGTACTCCAGCTGACATATCCTCTGTACTTCTTTCTCCCAAGTCCTCCAAAAGACTACCTCGTGCCAGCTAAAATTATTTTCATATAAAATTCCTCTCTCCTTTTGTGGAATTTTCGAAAAGTCTTTCGATTTTCTGAAATATCCAAATTTGTATCATAATTACAACTTTTTCCGCATTTAATACTTATTTGAATTAGGCTGAGTATTTATTTTATATACTCTATTATATTTATTTTGTGACATTTAGCCCTTTAAAAATAACGAAAATGCCCATCTTCGAACGGAATTTGTCTAGCTGTATTGATTTCGACTTAATTAATTTATGACCAACGGATCAATTGATGAATAATAACAAATTAAATAAAAAAATGGAGAAGATTTCCCTGTATTTTTTCATGTTTTTTTTAATATTTGAAGCGATGGAAAAATAGGGTTTTGAATGAGGTTAGTATGAGAGCTCTACGAATGGAGTTGGTTAGGGAACACCAAAACAAGGAAACTACAAAGGATTGTTCTAAGAAGCTGTTTTGTGAGAGGCTATAGGAGGTATTTTATTTCGGAATGGACCAAGGAGGTATTGTCTACTGGCAAAAGGAAATAACCTTGCTCGGAATACCAGTGAAAGATGTGAGAGCGTCTGGGAACACAAAATATAAATGAAATAATACATTTGTGGGAGGCTTAAAACCTGATTGAATCAACAAAGATGCAATAGAGCTTTATGCAGATAACTGGAAAGAAACAGTCTAATATGGCTGGGATGGAGAAGGTTCCTTAAGGTGGCTAACGATTAACAACGTCTGTAATACCAACTGAAAAAAAAGAAAAAAAAAGACATTTGTACAAGGAGGCAACGTCCACGCTGATTCAGCTGATGTATGCTCAACGCTAGCACTCAACCGACACAGGTCATGATGATTGAGCCTTTTAAATCGTAAACTTTAGTTTAGTTTAGTCTAGCGACACCGATTCGAATCAGACCAGGGGAGTTTAGAATATATTTGGTCATTTGTTTATTGTTGTTTGTGTAAAACTTCATTGGTTATATACTTTATATATATATATATATACACATACTAATTACACATATTTTATATTTTTATATATTTGGTTATTTCTCTAGAACAACTTCTCTCGCCATCTCCGCTTATAAGTGGTGAGGTAAGGGGCAATCGAGGAAAAAATAACAACCGACAGACGTACACATCAGGAGCAAGATGAAAAAAAATTATTGAAAAAATATTTATCATTACTCTGATTCCAATTATTAGTGTATGTATTTACGTATGTAGTGTATGTATAAATAAAATATTGAGTTGATATTCACATTCCTTATTTTCAAATGGAATCATGTAAGCAAGATAGATCGATTTTTTTATTTACTTCCGCTCTTGTGAATAATAGAATTTTACAAATAAATATAAAATTACGGTAGGATTAGAGTTCTTGTATAGAATTCTATGTTTATGTATTTCATGTAATTATGTAATTCTAATTTCAGTTTTGGAACAAGAATACTGTAACCTTATAAATCAGGTTGATATCCTTCAATGTGAACTTGATCGCAGCAATCTATGATGAAATGCAATCCCAGATCACAAGCAATCATATTGAAAAACTAAAAGGTATCTAATTATCAATATTTGTTTCAACTATCAGATTTATATGTTTATCAACAAATAATTATAAATGATAATTAATTATCAATCTACATAAATATAAACATCTGTATATGTACTCCGTTTTATACTATTAAATAGTTTAACTCATATTAATAACAAATATTAATTGTAGATCTGATGAAAAACAAGAAACCAATTCAAAGCTATTGCGAACTGCTCAAAATAATAATCACATCTGGATTTGAGATACGCTAAGAGAAACATAAAGGTATTATGTTATAGTATACTATAATAGTATTAACAATACTATTATTGTACTATTATGGGTTCAGAGATATAATAGTAGATTTACAATTGGTATTTTCTTTATATAAAACATTAATTGGAAAGTGTAGACGTCTTACATGAACTACACTCAACTTTTGTTTCCACAGTGATGGTAGAACCACATTTACCGATTCTTCACTAATTTTAATACCTACTTTAATTAAATCATATAGTCAATAATTTTTTTTGAAAATTTAAAATACCACAAAAGCTCTCCCATAAATAACGAGAAGAATATAATGAGGTGATAGTATGCCTTAAGACAAACAAAAAATCGGAAATTTAATTTTTGTGTTTTAGCAGTGTCATTTTTTTTTTTTTAGATATGGATTTTTTCTTTAAAAAGAAGTAGATTTTGCCTTTATAAATACCATTTAAAGGTGTTAACGAGCGAATAAATTATCTAAAATTTCGTTTTATTGAATTATGGGTCTTTCCCTCTCCCTCTCCCTCTCCCGCTCCCGCTTCCGCTCCTGCTCCCGCTCCCGCTCCCGCTCTCTCACTCTCCCGCTCTCTTTCTCTCTCTCTCCCTCTCCCTCTCCCTCCCCTCTCTCTCACCCGCTCTCGCTCTCGCTCTCGCTCTCGCTCTCGCTCTCGCTCTCGCTCTCCCTCTCGCTCTCCCCCTCCCTCTCACCCTCTCTCACTCTCTCTCTCTCTCTCTCTCCATCTCTCTTCCTCCCTCTCCCTCACCCTCTCCCTCACTCCCTCCCTCTCCCACTCCCTCTCTCTCACTCCCTCCCTCTCCCTCTCCCTCTCCCTCTTCCTCTCCCTCTCCCTCTCTCTCTCTCTCTCCCTCCCTCCCTCTCCCTCTCCCTCTCCCTCTCCCTCCCCCTCTCCTGCACCCTCACTCTCTCTCCCTCACACCCTCAAGTTCCTAATTTAATAAGCTTTTAGTCTATTGTAATTCTGACTTAGTACTTATAACAAATGTTTTCTAATCTCAAACTTGATGTGACGGAATCGTAAATGATTAACAACTTGTTAAATATGTATCTGCTTTATATATTTCTATCAGTTATAAAAAGGGACCGATCTATTTAATCATTTACTAATATGAATAAGAAAATTCTGTAATATACTAGCTTGAGTTATAGTTACTATCAGGTATTCTTTACTATCGGTTATACTTACTCCAGGCTGTTCCTTATTCTCCTTCAGAACGTTGGTTACCTGACGTACCTTGAAATCAAGCGTCGTTAGTTCTTCTTATATCACTTCAGTTGGGGTTGAGGAGTGAAAATTTCTTATCACCACTCGTAATGGTCTCTTCTGTTTCAGCTGATACGTATGGAAATTAGCATTCGTTTCTGACAGGTACTTCACAATTTTTTTTGCATGTTTCTGCAGTATCTGGTGTTATTTTTGTATCCTTGGTCCTGTTGAGGCAGGAATAACTGCCAGAGCAGATTTTGTTTAGTTGTGTACACAATAATCGGAAATTGTTTATATTTTTTTACAAATATTGGAGGAGCCTTGGTCCCCTGGGTATTGCTGCTGACTCCATTACTTCTCTGTCATTCTGAAGCACTTGGAACGAGTTTGGAGTAAAGAAAGGGAATTCTTTAACCATTTATTGCGAAAACGTTCCTGGTTGAGGCTGAGGTTCTGGATCTGAAGTGTTCACAGTTGTAATTGGAGCGGTTACTTGTAGGCAGCAACGAGTTCTTTGTTTGGCTGGTGAATCACGAGGGGTACTAACGTCGTCTGACCGAATCCTCTTAGTGCGCACCTTACTGGACATCACTTAGTGACAATGCCGCATATAATGAGTGAAGAAATGGAAAAGGAAAAAAAAAATTAAGATTAAAAAAATAAATATATCAAACAGTAAATTTCAACTGCTCTAATGTACACTTGAACTGTATTCAGTGAATAATCAGAATGATTCCGCTGAAAAATAGGCAAAAACGGAGAGGTGAGTTGAGAACACAACCTTTGCATCAGCTGAAACACAGCCTTCTATAACACATGATTAATGAGTAGATTTTGCATTAATACTATTAATTATCTGTTTGTAGGAATATGGAGGAGTCTTCAGCAACTTCTTTCTGGTCTCTGGCATGGCTGTCATTGCGATTCATTTTCTTGACTGCTTTTTCCGTCTTCCCAGCAATCTAATTCTTTCTTCTGTGCTAGGCACTTCTTCCAAGCCCTTTTACTAGCACCTCCAACTGCCCTCTCCACTGTACAACCATTTCAAAAGGACTCCCCTTACCGACTCACTCCAAAATTGACTCGTTTCTCCTTGGAATTCTCCTAACAGAATCCTAGTATGCAATTTTTAAATTTTTCTTTGTTAGACTGTCTCTATTTATAGTTATTTTATGGAATATACTTCAATTTCATGAAATATATTTAAATTAACACATAGGCACTCTCAATACATAGCATTAGCTCACCAACTAAATGTTCACATCTTCTAATCATATTTATAATTATAATGTTTTCATGAAAATTATATGCGTATTATTGCTGAATTCATTTCTTCACATTCTAAAATAAGAGGAATTTGTTCCTCAATTCAGAAAAAAATCCTTCAACATGTGATCTTGAGACGCTAATATATATCTTTTATTATATATCTCAAATATATATCTTTTATTAATTAACTATAATCTATGATTCAAAGCAGATTTGATCCGTGCAGATCCATGAGGAATTGAAAAACGTCATAGACCTCCGTGAGCCACAAAGTGTATGGAAGCTGATAATCCCGCAAGGAACTTAGATAAATAAGTTGAGAAGAGATACAGAAAGGTTTTATATGCCAATAAGTTTTTATTTGTATAGCTTATATATGTGTATTAGTACGAGTTCGCCCCTTTATTTTGAGGTTTTAATTATAATTATAATGTTTGAAGCATTTATAATTATAAATATATTTTATGAACATAATTCCAGACTTTAAGGCAGCATCATAGATAGATAATCTCATCGAAGTCGAAGAGTTACATTTACCTTGAAGGTTGATGAAACAAGGTGGAATTCGAAGGTTCGTATTAGTGGATGTTTCTGTATTTTTATTAGAAAAACCTTCTATGCATTTTTCTTTGATCTCATCAATTTTTCGACATGCTCAGATGGCCACCGTGTACTTCGACGATGACTGTCCCTTAGATAAGAAGAAACTGGGTAATCTCAACAATCTATTATTTTATTCATTAACTTATTAATTAACTTGAAACAATATAATAACTAGGGACTGGATGTATATGTATTTTTTTAAGCCTCTATACGTATTTGGAATATATATACACTGTTGTATATATTTGTTCAAGGAATTGTAAGAAATTCTCATTAAGAAAAATGATATAATACATAGACTAGACATTTAATAAATTTTGAAGGAGAAAAGCACTTTTATTTTATTAAAAAAAAAAATGTTTTCCTTTCGATTAGAATTCTATTACATTGTACGTGCAGTCGTGTTTTAATATTTTGCTAAAAATGTGTAATGTCGAAATGCATATCAACCTGAATAGCCTGAGTGTCGAAATATATTCACGAATTCCTAAAAAAATTTCCCGGAATTTCGGGATTCGAAAACCTGCTGATTACAATAAAAATTGTGGAACATTTTACTCAAAGAGGTTTCAAAATTAAAAACCAATACGAAAACCATTCTAGTTAGGGAATTAGGATTTTAGCTATCTAATGGAGTGTTTGAATGGGAAAAATAAAATAATCTGAAGCGTGTAAACGTTCTAAACAGGTAATTATAAAGTTGGAATCCAAAATAATTTTAATATCTGTTCTAAAAAATACATAGTAATCTTTTTAATTAATTTTAGCTCAACTATTAAAATTTTTAGGAAGTTGGGAAATTTTGTTCCAAATATTGGCAATATAATTTTTTTCGCGACTGTAGAATGTATTTAGATTTTTTCCCTAAAAAAAACCGACGTTACAGTGTTCACATTATATTGATATATTTATTTTTCCCTATATTAACTTATAAGATTCTTTAATCACTTATGTACATTTCTTCGTTATTTTATATATAATCTTGTCCTTTACTTTATTAAATAATTTTAAATGTCAGATTTTAGGATTTTTATGCTTACATATTTGTAAAAATAGAATTACATATATCGTTTGCTTGGAAGAAGATTGCCACAACACGAAAAATCAGAATTTTATAGGTGAAAGGTTTAATGTTTGCACATTAAGGTTTATCGCTGTGTCCGTATCCAACTTATGTTTACGTATGCTTACCTATTTTTTTTTTTACGTAGTTTGTTTATTTTCTGATTAGTTAAATATGAATCGTGGAATCAAACCGCAGCAGTTTTTCTTTAAAAAAATTAAATAAATTGTTATAATGGTGTACTAACGAATCCAGGAATTAATTTTGGGAGAGAACTTCAGCCCGAAAGATTTTTTTTGTTTTTATATAAATATAACGATAGTTACTTTGGAAGAGAGAAAGAAACTAAGTGCCTATAATAAATGGTGTATAAGTGATTCTTTAAGTCTCATTAAATATAATTAGATGAACAATAATAATGTTTGATATACTGTTTTCATAAAACATGGTTATATTTTACAATTTGGGGGCGGAGAGGAGGACTTCAGCCCGATAGCCACCCCCGTAGATCCGCCTGCGTAAAGGTATATGCTAAAATAAAAAATCTGTTTTTTCTCCAAAAGAAATTTAGCTCAATAGAAGACTTTTTGCAAAAAAAAAAAGAAAAAGAAAAATGAAAATTTCCATATTGACACATTCTTTTTCAAAAACGGACGTTAAATGCTCATATTTGACTTTTGATTTCAGATGAAAATTCAGACCCTAATTATCATCATATATACTATGACTATCATATATGGATCATTATCTCAAAACAAGGAAATATCGTCAACATTTTTGGAAGTCAAATTCGAGCTAAATAAACATTTTGTTTTGTATAGATTTGCTCCTAAAGTGTATAAAAAACTGTAGTGAAAATTTTCTATCATAAAATCTTTTAGTTTCTCAGAATTTTAACTTAAGTGAGGGGAAAAGAAATTTCCATTACATGCAAAATTGGGTTTTACTTTAAAAACAATTTAGATTATTGCAATAAATGTGTTTGATATATTTAATTTATCTCTATAAAATAGCCAAACTGGTAGGAAAAATAAGATTTAATATCACAAAGAATTTAGCCTTAGAAAACATTTAAAAAAAGTATATATATACGACGGATAAATTCACTTGCTTGTACAACGTTTTTTTTTTTGACAAACTGTTCACTCCACCCCCCCTATCACTAAAAATTTGGGTAACATTATTATGTTGCTGAACATTACCAATCTATGAAACTTGAAAAAAAATTCTCACGCCTGGTTAGGATTTTTAAATAGAATTGAGGTTTAGAGGTGAATTGTTGGGGACAAAGTAATGAAATACCTCAATCATTAATGAAACCAATATGACATATTTCGAATGTCTAATTGCTTATATTTTCTGTCTTGATGATTCCGCAAATGGCGAAATATTGATGAGTTTTTTTAAATTTTACCTGACCTGCATTGAATACATAACGCTGTGAGGTTGGAATTTTTTCAATTATAACAACATTGGATTTATGTCTTCTGTTGAGTTTTTTAATTATTTGTATAAATATATTTATGCACACACATAAATGAGGTTCAAACATTATAATAAAATTGTTGTAGGACTCTGTTCGTGGATGTTTCTCCACACGATGGCTGCCTACTACTCCGATACTCCATCCTCACAAGAACAGAAAGACATGTTTCTCTTTATACACCTTTTTGCCAAGTTCTATCCATGCAAGGAATGCTCACGGCATTTTCAAAACACGTAAGGACCTTTTTTATGTTATTTATTTTTTTATCAAACACATCAGTCGTTTTATGATAATTTTTTTTAAGCCTAGAAAACTATCCTCCAGATGTAACATCACGCAAGAAATTATCGCAATGGCTCTGCGAAGTTCACAATGTCGTCAACAAACGCCTTAAACAATTGTTATTTGACTGCAAAGTTGTAGACCAAAGATGGAGGACTGGTTGGGAGGACGGTTCCTGTAAAAAGTAAAACGGTCGAATACATTATATTTCAACAGAGTTTAATAACATGACTCATAAAAAGAAACATAATGCACGGGTAAAATGAAGGCAGCAAGATCCCTTTTAAATTAATGCAAAGAACCACAATGTTTCTTGTCCCAAATGCGTCAAGCCAGAAGAAAATACTCAAGTACGGATAACGCTTCGGCGGTTTTGGAAAAAACGAATAAAATAACCGCCATCAACAGAAGAAAAAAAATTGCACTAAAAAAAAATAAATTGTCAATTGTGAGGCTAAAAAAATTCGATGGTGATGTCTGAAATAGTTATAGCCTACACGCTATTAAATAAAAACATTCTAAATTATTTAAATATTATATTTTTTTCTAGAAAATGGTTATTAATACCAAAAGGAAATAGATATTGAGAAAGGTAATTAGTTTCTAGTAGGGGTTTAATTAATGTTCATCTGTTGTACAAGATATTTATCAGTTACTTTTATTTTTTCCAACATATTCCTGATTTAAACTGTAGGTCACATTTAATTTTTTTAATAGTTGAGATTATATTTTTCCAAATTTTATCAAAATTATTTTCGGGCATCAGTAATAATTGTTGTAGTTCCACTTTTGTTTTGATATTCAATACTATATAGGATAATGGCATATCCATCACACTATTAAAAGAAAATACGTTAAATCCACATTGTCTGTTGTCTCAGCGTAAATAGAGCTAAAATGATATCAGTCTGACTGAAACGTATACGGATCTTAGTGATTGATATGATTCTTGTCAGTCTTGAGGCTGTCATTCCTGTCTGAGTGTGTAAGGCTCTTGATAGCCGATTTAGTCATGGCTCTTGCACACAGAGTGAGATATTCCTTGGAGTCTATTTCATTGTAGCAATCTAAATGAGAACGATAATCCGCAACGAAACCGACAAAGTTACGCAGGGACATATCGCGTTCTGTCTATATTTGATATTCTTAACAAGAAATTTAAAATACTTGTGGGATGTCTAGATGAAACAAAGTAATATTCACAAAAGATCTACCCGAATAATTAAGGAGAATAATATATATAGCATAAGAAAGTTGAGTCAAAATAACAAACCATAACAAATCTCCATTGTTTATTGATGGCTTATTTTTATAGAAGGATACAATCAATGGATTCATCCAGCTATATGTCAACTGAACGATGGAAAGGAATATCTCCAAAAGAAATGGCAAACAATATTTTTTTATATATATATATATCGCAGAGCAGCAAACATCTTCGAAAAGCCAAGAATAGCAAGGAATGGAAGCGGAAGCGGATGCTTTGTGCGGTCTTGCCGCCCCATCCAGTTCGCAGATTATGAATAACAATGTTGATGCCCTTGTCATATTTCAGAAGAGACATAAAAAGAAGACATTGAAAATCGCCGGAGGGGGTGCATAAAAGGTTGCTATTGGGGACTGGTTGTCACAGACTATTGTTAGTAAATAGTAGAGAGGCCTTGGTCGTTGGCTTGTTCCGCCTTTTAGACTAATGCCTACCCGAGCCGTGCATAACTAGCACTCCCCTCGATTGCTCCATCTATCATCCCTCCAAACCTTATGCATATCTCTAACTTGTCAGTTTCACTACATTTTTTTACGGCACCCCCCTCCCCTCCTCCCCGATCTCGCAGCGTATTTCTTAACAAGCTCTAATCATTTTATAATTGTTTCACTATGCTTTCAACGTTTTGATAATGCGAGGAGACATGGCATTTATCGGGTTGCGCTAAGCATTACATATTCATTTAAGCACGTACTGACTGTATTTATGACTAAATGATTTATGATTCTTAAAATAAGAAAACAATTTACTACAATTTCGCAGCCCTATTAAGAATTAATTTCCTGTTAATTTTTTTTTTTTAAACTTTGTAATTTTATTGTTTATTTATGTTTTATATAATTCGTTTGTTTATGAGGCCGAGGCCCATTTTTATCAAATTATTGATTCGTGTTAAATTTCTAAAGTGGCTTACTTTTATCATAACCTATAAATCTTCAAAAATTCTCAGAAACGGAAAATTTTACTATTTACTTTCTACTTGAGTCGTAAGAGAATTTGATCACAAAATAGTGAAACATGATGGCCTACAAAAATATTGCGCCGTCTGGCCTCTATTTTTACAGATTAGGTAGGAGTACCGTTAAAAATCCCGATATTTTTGCATGCTTTTTTCTCAATTTTGTGAACAAATTATCTTAAGATTCACGTAAAAAGCAAAAAAGTATCCGTGAGTTTTTAGTTCCTTTAGATTGAAAACGCCCCATTTCCGAGAATTGTTGAATATATATATATATATATATATATATATATATATATATATATATATATATATATATAAGTTGTAGGATACGTGTAGACTTCGGTAGCTTAAAAAATCATTTTTTGTCGTATTTTTTGATATTCTGATAGTTTTTCACGCAATACTCGACATAAATTAATCATTTCTTTTCAATAGCTTTCAATATTGTTGGTTTCGCAAGGTTTTAGCAGCTCATAATACAATAAATCCCACCCACTTACCACGTTTTTCACTTCTCTCTTTATAATAGCCACAAACCATTGTACAATCGAAATCTAAACGGAGTACGACTTCGGGATACCCTAACGGACTCTATAGTTTACAATCTGCGTATGGCGCGAATACCATTCAGAATAACACCTAACCGAAATGACTGGGAAAAAAAGTTTTTTTCGTCTGTCGAGCTGACAATATTAATAAATAATAAGCATAAAGATATCAGCTCGGGCTTATTATAATTGACCAAGATATACTAAATATTTCATTGAATTTCAAATTTTTATCCCCACAAATTATTTTTAATTGTTGTTAGTTGATATTTTTTAAACTTACATTCTCTAAAAAACTCGTGTAATACAATATATATATATATACCTTCTTGTTTAACAGAAATATTATTATTGAAGATTATCATTCATTTCTAGTTTGGCTTCAGTTTCGTTTATTTTTCTTAATAATTTTTCACCATTCAAGAACTAAAAACAATATTAATTTATGAAAATTCAATCGTCCAGTATTGTTTTAATAACAGTCCAAATGGAATAACATTCACTCCACTTACTATAGCCTTACTTATCCGATCTATCTTATCATTTGGACCCATCTTAACTAAATCACTCTGTTTATTTGGGGTGTCCCTGTTGAATAGCTCTATCTATCGTAAAAGAGCTACAAAATAAGGAGAATATTTTTTATCCTCCTATATAACGTATTGATCGCCATTCAACACTAAAAATAAATCTAAACAAAAAGGAATAATAACTACTTAAATTCTTAAATTAAGGCTCTTAAACATTTTTTGATTTATTTAAAATTGATTTCTACTCAAAATGGTAAGTGAAACAACTTTTTTTTCAAATCATATTGCCGAATATTTATTAATTAGGTAGACTAGGAAAAAAATAATCGATTTATATCTCTCTATCGGTGTGGCTTAAAATGTGTGGTTTAGTTGTTAATTTTTTTCTCCTTAGCTGTAAAACATTTCCTTAAATATTTTAAAAATTTGTTTTCTTCAACTTTGAAGACAAAACATGACCTAAAGCAATGCATATAGCAATATTTCTTGTTGTTTTAATGTATATATATATATATATATATATATATATATATATATATATATATATATATATATATATATATATATATATCAATTTGAGCTATTACATTCGAATTGAGGCATATAGAAGTGTATTAAACATTATTGTAAAAAAGCTTGTTGCAAGCTTCCGCAAACAAATTAATTTGTGAAATTTGATTCAATTTATTTTTTATGTTAACTCGTTAATTCGCTTATTTTCAGATGTGAAAAATCCATCCTAATGGACACCAAAGATTTTTTTTTAATTTTATTCTTTACATATTATAAAAATATGTAATTAAATTAAAAATCTTTGTCCTCTACCGCAATGCCTACAGATCTATCTACAAAGGGCCCACCGAAACGCGGTTTTCGATAGATCTTTAATTATTTGATCCTCATCAGTATGAAACTCTATCCCATTACCCTCCCCACTTCTAATTCCCGCCTGTTCAATCATTTCTTACCATCCAGTTCTCAAAAAAATTGTAAATAAGTGTTTTTGTTAATATGTATATAAATTATAATTTTTTTTAACGTCCTATAATTTTATTTGAATTGATTAAACTTAGATTTTTTCATTTATATTTTTTAATTGTTTTTATATAGCTCTGAGGCTCCCTATTCTGTTATTGTATTTTGGTTTATTATTTTCAATAATAAACCATTTTAATCGACAAAAAAATTAAAAACTTAAACCTCCTAAATATTTGAGGTTTTACGTTTCAGGATATGTAGATTTCGAAAATCGAATAAATAATTTTTTGTCCGTCCGCCGTCCGCCATCCGCGTATTTCTCCGAGGCTACTGGACCGATTAAAAAAAAAAAAATTATTTAAAATCAGAGGTCAGTCGAAGATGATTCTCGTAATCGACATTACTATCCGCCTTTTCTTTTCAAGATGGCGGCCGAAAAACATATGTCGCTATAGACTGTAGCGCCTAAACGAATTTACCGATTTCAATAAAACATGACTAAAGTCTTCATCCTTCTCGACAACCTTTAAATTTATCTATATAACATATTTCGAAGAAAAAAAGCTGGAAAAAAGTTACGAAAGATGGTAAAATTAGATTTCCGAATAACTAAAAAAGTATACTCTTTTTTGTTGATACTGTACGACTGTTTATAATTTTACAAAATTAAAAAAAAATCTTTAAAATCGGACGATTTGGAGCAAAGATATGGTCTGTAGATATTTTTGATATATTCTACTGCAAAATTTTTATCCTTTGTTTTTTTATTTTTGAAAGTGTTACCGAAGTAATGCTATTTGTTTAAACAAATTACTGATGATGAAAACAAATGTTTAGGTCATTAATAGGAAACGCCTTTGATTTCTTTTTCTTTGTTACCAGGAAGGTAATGTTACTTTAGATGTATAATTGTTTGGAAATTATAAACCATTGTGAACTAATTTACAGTATTTTATTTGTTTGTTTTTTAAGGGGACTATATAAGAGACTATAAAATAAATAAAGCATATTATTATTTTTTTTATAATTAAATAAAATTTCAACGAATTTATTCAAGTTAAAATATCACTTAAATTGATTTGTGACTAATTTTCATTTTTGAAACGAATAGATGTGATAAAAGAAAGTAAAC